ATTTGCATTTGATTTTCAAGGAAAGATGCAGTTTGGGTTCTGCAGGTCGTAGATGGAATAGTTCTACTGTATCTCTAAAATACAAACATCACTGGTTAGTAAGAAGTTCAACCCCGAACTCCCCCTTTCCTCACCCCTTTAAATATAAAATGTTATAGAAGACATTTGCTTTGTTAAAAAGAAAAAAGAAAAAAGAAAAAAGAAAAAAGAAAAAAGAAAAAAGAAAAAAAAGAAAAGATGCAGTCAGGAGAGCACATGTGATCTGATGACACTACAGACAAAGCACATTTGATGCAATCATTTGGTAAAGATAAATGTATTGCTAATTAATATTGCTTTTGTATATGACTGAAAGGAGGTCTACTGGATGGCCAAAAAATTAAACGACAAGGAGTCTAATAAATTTCAGCGGAGGATGAATTATGTAATCAGATGGTCCAGATCAACTTAATTTTCTTCCAGCGAGAGAATACAAATTTGAGAAAATCTAGAAGTAAAAATCTATTACAAAATTAGATTCTAGCACATAAACTAACAACAAAATACCAAATAACTAAAAATATTATGCAGTATGCACTATTAATTTAAAAAGTTAGAACATTAACAATAAAAATATAGTGTAGATTTGATAATTTAAAAAAGATAAATGTTAGTGTAATAGATTTTAATGAATAATAATAAGATAGGGAAAATCAGTTATAAATTTGTAAAAAAGAAAGTAGAACTAAATATAATCAAATTTTAATTAAAAAAAATTAAATTGATCAAAAAATAAAAAATTAATTTATTAAGAAAGTAGAATACAAAATATGAACAATTAAATTACTCTAAAATAATAATAAATAATTTAAAACACTATTATTTAACTAAAAAGATATGTGTTACATATGTTTCAAGTTACAAAAAAATTAGTGTATAGTATCACTACATCAATTGACTAACACAAGAAAGGATACCACAACATCAACCATGAAATATGCCTTTGCATCTTGAGTGAAGACAGGGAGGTACAAGCTAACAAAATAAACTCTTTTATTTTCTGAACAATTAATAAGAAAGCATTCAAAATTTCACAAAAATACTAAAAACTCCTTGAGTTTCACGGAGCCAACAAGGATTCCCATGTAGGGATGTCAATGGGGTCCTGCGGGGTCGGGAAGTCCCTCCCCATCCCCGTCCCCGTGAATGGTGGGGATAGGGATCCCTGTGAGGATTTTTTACGAGGGGCAAATTTTGCCCCCCATCCCCATTCCCCACCAATTAATACCAAAGTATATATTTTTTGCATCAAATATAAATAAAAATTAATTTAACATAAATAATTAAATCAACAAAATTGTTCCAAATAAAGATTAATCTAACATAAAGCAACATTTTTCAAACATAAGTTGTTCCAAATATACATAGAAATTAATCAAACATAAAGCAACATACTTGTTCCAAACATAAGCAAAAATCAACCCAATATAAATAAAATAACTAAACTAAACCAACATTCAACATGAAGGGAAGCAGTCAAGAGCCAACTCAAAACACTTTAGCTCTCAAAATCCACAATTGCTCATAAAAAGACCTACAATACAATTAGTAAATACTTTATGTTAACATATTTATAGAAAAACTGTTTATATTATTAGTATAAAAAAGGGTCATGTATATTTACCTCTAAATTATTGTCTTCATCACAATCCATATCCTCATTTTGAGTAAAGAAACATATATCATCCAAAGAACCTATTTCAAACATGAAATTTAAATTAAAAGTTAACTACTTAATTAAAGAACAAAAGAAATATACATAAAAAAAATAAAAGAAACATAAACTTAATACCTTTGAGATCTGTTCTTAACCAATCTTGAAGACACATCAATGCTTCTATTGTATCTGGATTAAGCTTGCTACAATGTGAGAAAAAAGCACAGTAACGTTTGTTGAAGTAGTCCGGCACTCCGGCACAGGCAACAAAGACAAAGTTCAGCAGTCAGCAGGATGATGGGATGTTGCAGGCTGCAACTAACAGCTTTGACAGCAGCTCCAGGAGCAGATCTGTAACAGCTCTAGCAACAGATCTGTAGCAGCTTCAACAGCAAATCTGTAGTAGATCTGTAGCAGCAAGAAGAAGAGGGGAAGGTCGAAGGTGAGGTGAGACTTGAGAGCTTGATTGTCCGACCCAGACCGAGAGTGAGTGAGGGGCTGAAGTGAGGGCTATGGTTGCACTACTGCGTGAGTGAGGGGCAAAAGTGAGGGCTGTGGCTGCACTGCTACGTGAGTGAAGGGCTGAAGTGAGGTGAGAGTTCCGACCGAGACCGAGAGTGAGTGAGGGGCTGAAGTGAGGCTGTGGCTGCACTGTTGCGTGAGTGAGGGGCTGAAGTGAGGTGAGAGTTCCGACTGAGACCGAGAGTGAATAAGGGGCTGAAGTGAGGCTGTGGCTGCACTGCTACGTGAGTGAGGGGCGAAAATGAGGGCTGTGGCTGCACTGCTACGTGAGTGAGGGGCTGAAGTGAGGTGAGAGTTCCGACCGAGACCGAGAGTGAGTGAGGGGCTGAAGTGAGGCTGTGGCTGCACTACTGCGTACATGAGTGCGGAGAAAGGGAAATGAATAAGGTTATGAAATTAGGGTTGGAAGGAGGATTAATTAGGATTGGAAGGAGGATGATGGGTTGGCCGGATGGGTTGACCGGTTGGGTTGAGTACTTGGGTTGAGTTGAGTTGGATCAAATTTAATTTTTATTGAATTGCGTTTGGGTTTTATTTTAAAGATTAAATTAAATTTAAAATATACATTTTTTTTAATTTTTCGCAGAGATGGGAATTCTCGCGGGGTCCCGCGAGACGCAAAAAATTCTCCACAAAATTTCACGAGGAGAAAATACCTCCTATCCTCACCCTGCGAGAAGGAATATTTCTCCCCGTTCCTTCTTGTCCTCACGATGAGAATCCCCATAAAACCTCACGAGAATCGGGGAAAATTGGCCCTCCTATTCCCAGTGTTTTAAAACCCGGCCCGGCCCGGCCGGTTGAACCGGTTGAACCGGACCCGGACCTGAAAACGGGCCGAGTGCATACTTCGGCCCGTTTAAGCAAATGGCCCGTTGAAACCCGTTGAAACCCGTCAGACCCGTCCCGCCCGTT